TGGTTCTGGAACGCCGTAAAGTGGACAACTTTTTGGCGTAGCGACCCTAATCTAAACACACGTTACGGTGGAAATGTTAAAGGTTAATTTTAGTTCATCAATGTCGCGTAAAGCTTCTGACAAAGACGTAAAGGTAACTCGTTAACGTAATATTAAAAAAAAACCAATATCTAAGAAGCAATTTCAATTGGTTTGCTTAAGAAACGGGTTAGATTTGTCGTTCAACTTTGACGCAACAAACTTTTTCCAAGACTCGTTTTAAGGCTCTCCTTTTAACGCGCCAGACTGTAGCACTCTCCAAACTTCTAACAGTGAATTTGGCGGTGGTGTACGCAGAAATTATTTAAACATTGCACGAGCTCAATTTCGTTGTATAGTGAATCGTTTTGGCACCAACACTGCGGCCAAAAGCTGCGGGTAACCTTGTGCACACCTTGTGATAATTCTCCACAGCCCTCTAGTCAATATCTTTCGTGGGGACCGACAGTATTCTCCGTAGGACCGTAACGTGTTCTCCGCAGGTTTATACAGTCTTCCATAAAACTGACAGGTCCAACGGTGAAGACGGTATGGTCCTACAGAGAATACTGTGAGGTCCAACGGAGAATCTTGGCCTTAGGATGAACAGAATTTTCCGTACCTTTTTGCCACAGTGAGAGAACGTTTTATAACGAAAAATATGTCCATTATCTGTTTGCACGAGATTGTTTGCTTTGTAAAGAAATGGTGTTAGTTGCTCCGCTTTGCTAAGTCCCTAAACGTCGCTTTACTTGTTGTTTTTATTTCTCATTCTGTGTCTATTCCCGTTGTTCTTCACTCGCCGTTCAGAACGGGCCGTTCTGGCGGAAGTGTCTGTTGACGTCACTGTGGCACTGTTGGGCGGCCAACCGGCCGGCTGGATCGGGGCCCTTTCCCACCACGATGTAGGAACGCTCCGGTGGAAACACTGCCGTCTGTGGCTGAAGCAAAAAAGCGTACGAGATAATAGTTCCGCCGATGGCCACCGGGTGGCGCAAGTGTTCCCTTTAGTCCGGCTCGAAGCGCACCGGCCCACGGTTCCCTTGCAGGCTATGTATTTTTCTCTTTTGCTGATTTTTTTTCTCAGGGAAGTGTTCCTTTAAAAAAAGTACTATTTAACTGGTTGTCCTAATAACTTTCTTTTAAGTTTTAGAAATACTCAAAATATAAAAAGTGACAACTTTTAAGTTTTTTGAATATCGAAGAAAGTGACTATTTGACTTTTTAAAAATACTTGTGTCAAGAGTCTTAATTTTATGTAAAATTTTCCTTCCCTTTTGCATTGACTCATACCCGCAAAGAAGGGCTCCACCTCTGTTTACTTGCTGAGTTACAGATGTTCTCGTTAACTCTAACTAAGTCGAATCTCTTTGTCTCCTCATGACAAAGGAGAAGGTTCCCAGCCTTTAGATTCTGGCAAATATATCTCTTTTGGCATAGCAAAAAGGTGGCGTTGCCCTTTTTTAAAACACAATTTCCCTTAGGTTTCATGAAAAACAAGAAATGACATAAAAGTGTCACAGAATCTCTCAAATTTGAAGATCAGTGAACATAAGTCCAGGGAAACTGGTTTTACTGCTTGTTTTAAGCTTATATTTTCAATTGTGCCAACGCTATCATTTTCTTAAGTCTTTGAAGTTTCAATTGCCTGAATCTGATGACTAGGGTCCTTTTCCTTTGTCGTGAAGAGAATTTGAGAGAAACGACTGAAGGTTTACGTGAATGTTACTCAAAAACTAATTGGAGTTGAGGCCTCCAACTTTGGGAGTAAATTTATCTGGTATTCATATTATGTATTTTTCTAACAAAATTAATGTGAAAATTAAAACCTGAGAACTATTCAATTTTAACAATGTTATGCCTACTCAAACGCCACCAACAGCAAAGTGATTGTACCCATTAATGGCGCTCTGACATGTTGCGTCCTGACAGAGACGACTGGTAGGACGGTTAAAAGAATACTTTTGAACATAATTCGAATCCTAGTTCCCTTTACAAAACAGCACACACTTCACAACATAACAGTCGACACGCATCCACCCCTTGGGAGAGCCCGCGAGCCGGACTAAAGGGAACACGAGCGCCGCGTGGTGGCCATCCGCGGAACTATTACCTCGTACGCTTTTCTGCTTCACTTTCGGAGCGGCCGAAGCGGGCAGTGTTTCCACCGGAGCGTTCCTACATCGTGTTCCCACGCTACGCTTCCCGCGGCCCGGACTGCCGAGGGGATATTTCGGGATTTCCCGCCGAGCCCCTTCGCCGGGTGGGGCTCTCCGCTGGCGATGGCGACCCGAGCGCGACCAGGCTTGGCTTCGCTTGGCTTGCACTCTCCCTCAAGTTCTGGCGACCGTGGCCGCGACACTGCTCTGGGCTGTCCGCTGCAAACCAGCACCGAATCGTTTCTGGGGCATCATTGCGCAGCGTCCCGATAAAACCGACATCCCACGGCGCTGTACATCGCCACCTAAAGTTCGTGTTCGCGAGCATTTCTGTCCTGTGAAAGAGGAGTTATTTTACGTTCGGGGAAGGGGTAGTCACAAGGAACGAGAACTGTGTCCCGCAGAAAACACAGCTTTCACCAGATCTAAATCATTTTTGTGTCGTTTCAGCCCGCTGCCCGAGCCGTCCATCTCTCAGCATCAACCGACGCTGCCGGACCGGAGCTGAGCATCTTCGAATCGTTGAGGATGAAGAAAGGCGTGGTAAGATTTAAAGTTGACTGCGAGATGGCTACACTGGTGGAACAAAGGCATTTAAGGGGAGGTTCTGGTAAAAATCTTGCCATTTTTAAAATGGATCCCACTGTCATAATTTGTTCGGAACATAAAATCTTTCTTCGTGGAGACTAAAATTTGACTTTTGAAGGCACTTGCCAGGCTCTGAACCCAGTCGAAGAGTCTTTTTGAGCCTATTTTGGCTGTATCTTAAAAAATCTTCTTGCGCATACTATTTTGTCGTAAAAGGTTGACCTTGACATTTTTCACCTCTTCGATTCATGTTCAAAAGATTCCGGCATGCATAGCTCAAAATTTCCAATTTATTATTAATTGTAAGCTTTTAAAGCTGAAAATTGCCTAAAATTTGCCTATTTTGTACACTTTTGATCAATTTCAGTGACATGCTTGTTTAGAAAGCTTGCAAATAAAAAAGTTATTTACATTTTGAGTTGTACATGCCGGCATCTTTTTGAAATGAATCGAAGAAGTGAAAAATGTCAAGGCCAACCTTTTACGACAAAATAGTATACGCAAGAAGATTTTTAAAGTTATAGCCTAAATAGGAGACAAAGGCTCTGCAACTGGGTTCAGGGCATAGAGTAAGCCTCCCCAATGAAAAATTTTAATAATTTCTTGGTAAGACATTACATATTTAACAAATTTTCACAGTGGGACCTATTTTGGAGAATATAGAATTTTCACCAGAACCTTCCCCTAAATTATGCCCTTTTAGGGCGTTAACGATTTACGCCTTTGAAGCGGCGTGAATCATTAACACCTTTTGGAAGGGCATTAAAATTTAGCTTGAAATGCCTATGTCATTCACGCCCTTCTCAAGGGCGCCCTTCATGGGCGTAAAAGAGTATTTATGCCCTAATGGGCGTAATTTTTATGCCTTTGTTTTACCGGTGCAGAGGGCGGTTCGGTTGTAGTGGAATTCTCGGAATTCTCGTGTATTTACTTCAATTTTAAATGCCACTTCAACAATGTTCTTTTTCACCCCACGGCAAAAACTGTTCCTGGTTTTCCAGGATTTACTTGTACACACTCATTCCAGAAACGAATGTGGCAAAGTGTCACATTCCTTTGAGCATTGTGTCATAAAATTTGTTGGAGTAACGAATTTTTGTTAGTAAAACTAATAATCTGTCGAACCAACAAATTATTCTTTACGCGAACAAACTATTCGTTTCTCGAACGAATAGTTTTTTTCGGTTATCACGGAACGAATTCCCTTTTCCATTGTACGTAAGGTAAAAACCTTCACAGGAACTTGGCGTACCGAGGATTTTCCTACATTTTCTGATTTTTCATGTTCTTTGGTGAAAACACCTTATTTTATACGAGGGGAAGGCGTCAGTTTCGACTAGGTCAATAAGCCTCATGCCCCATTAATTTCATGCCTTTTCCATCTGTGCAAAGTGTTTTGAAAAACGCAGTCCAGTTTAAATAATTTTGAAGTGCACAACCGTATGCGCGAGCATGGCTTCACGCACTCCCTGGGCTTGCCACCCTCTGATTTTCCTGAGTACTGGTTCATGCGTTCTTTCATGAAGTTTCATTTTCTGTTTCCAGAAGCATCTTATTTCCATGGCTGCGGTGTGCTCTGGTGGGACCTGCGTCTATGCTGGTTATAACATTTTCAGGGGGAATGAAAAGTTCTATGATAATATTCTTATCCCACTGTTGCACTGCCTCAACCCTGAAACGGCTCACAACTTTGCAGTTCAAGCATCCAAGTTTAAGTTGATTCCACACAGTCACTTTAAAGATCCTGAATGTTTGGTGAGTTGTTAACTATGTGCGCTTGTTCTTTTCTGCCGACACAGATCATCCATTTTGGGCTTTTATATTTTCAGACAACCAATGTGTGGAACATAAAATTTGCTAATCCCGTTGGCATGGCTGCTGGATTTGATAAACAAGGTGGAGCTGTAGAGGGTTTGCTCCAGGTTGGGTTTGGATTTGTAGAGATTGGCTCTGTCACTCCTATGCCCCAGCCAGGGAACCCTCAGCCTCGAGTTTTTCGATTGCCAGAAGATAGTGCTGTCATTAACAGGTTTGTTCAGATATTTTCTCATCTTCAAGTTCAATCTTGTTTTGCTTCTGATGAGTTATCGATGTTTTCATGTGCTCTTTAGATACGGCTTTAATAGTGATGGCCATGTTGCTGTTCATCAACGACTTAAGAACTTACGTGAAAACGGGACCGATGGTATTATTGGGGTGAATCTAGGTAAAAATAAAACGTCAAGTGACCCTGTACAGGACTACGTAGATGGAATCAAGATGTTTGGAGATGTAGCAGATTATCTCGTAATAAACGTGTCAAGGTATATATTCTTCCTCTTATTATTATCTTTGTTACTGCTTGCGCTATTTTTTCGATGTACCTTTGATTTTATTGTTTTTGTTTCCTCCGCTGCATGAATTTAGCCCCAATACTCCTGGTCTCCGAAACTGGCAGAACAGTAGCCAGCTTCAAGAACTTCTCACAGCTTTGGTGTCAGCCAGGAACGAACTCCCACAACTGATCAAACCACCACTTCTTTTGAAGCTAGCTCCTGATTTGACGCAACAAGAAAGAAAAGATATTGCTAGAGTCATTTCCCGCAAGGAGGTAACCCTTGTTTGTTTGTTTGTTTGTTTGCATGAACAGTCACTGTGTTTCAAAGGAACTTTTGGCATTAATTCTTTCACAATTTGCAGTGCGCAGTTGATGGTTTGATAATATCGAACACAACAGTTTCTCGAGAGAACCTTCAAAGCCCTGCTGCCGGAGAACAGGGAGGGTTAAGTGGGAAGCCATTGGCCGTCTCGTCAACTAGTTTAATAAAAGACATGTTTGTTTTAACCAAAGGTACGTTGCTTTGGAGGTGATCATTTGTAATCTGATAAGTCATGTCAAAGTGATTTCTATGCCGTTTATTTTTACAGGTGAAGTTCCTATTGTGGGAGTTGGTGGAATATTTACTGGCAAGGATGCTTATGAGAAGATTAGAGCTGGTGCAAGCCTTGTACAGTTCTACACAGCTTACATATATCATGGACCCCCAAGAATTACGAAAATCAAACAGGAGCTGAGTCACCTTTTAAGGTACTGCAAAAGAGAATTACAGCCTTACAGAATCACAAGATTAATAACTTATGCCCTTTATTTCATTCATTTTGTTTTCTGTTCGTTTATAGTGCTGATGGGTATACAAACGTGGCAGAGGCTGTTGGAAAGGACGTGGAAGTTTGATTTCCGATTTAAGGTAAGATGAATAGACTTCAGGCAACGAATTAAAGTAGTCCAGATATTTCCTACTTTGATAAAATGTTTCTACTTTTATTTATTTAAAAAGAAATGACATTAAAAAAGCCCGTTGCAGATACGTAATACACACTTAACAGCACTTTCTCAGTGTTCTAGTCATCATGTGCCAAACTATTTTGGGCTGGTTAAGAGGATGGAATGTGCATTGAAATGTCAAATTTTAATTAAAGCATATTTGGTAAGACTGCACATTCCTTACAAATTTCCACAGTGTGCTCTTTTGAAGAAAGTAAGATTTTCGCCAGGTTTTCACCCTTTGTCGTTGCAATAACAGGCCAGTTTCGGCGTTCGATGCCTTTCTTAAAAAATCCAACGGCGCGTTAATTGCCAAGCAGCGCGAAGCAGTTAGGACGCTTTTTGGGGACATTTTGGCAATCAGTACTTTTTCGAAAAAGCGGCTGACGAATGTTTGCTGCGTTCCTCTCGGGTTGAATAGTAGAAAAGAAGATAAAATAGACAGAGAAAGGAGAAGTTTAGCTATCTTTATTGATTTTCAAGGTGTTTTGACTGCATAATGACTTTAATTCTGCCCTTTTATGATTGCAGAAGTATTGCTGTTAGCCGATACCAGTGCAGGCTCTGTGGCTGGAGTGGTGAGCAATCAGCTACCAGGATTTCTTTCCTGGGGGTTGATCCAACCGACCACCCGGGGTGCTAATCCCCGTTACCCGAAACGTGGCCCGAAATAATGGCAATTCAAGCACGGGTGGAGCGGATCAGCAGTACACCTCACCTCTCCTCGGTGTTCTGGAAAAGGAGAACCGATGTCGTCCAGCGACGAATTACAGAAGGGACTATATGAGTGTTCACGCCGCCGAGCTGTACTTACCGCCACTTGCTGCACGAGGCATGGCTGCAGCGTGCAACGTGTTGGTGCAGTAAGGGGTATTGAAATGCACGTTTTTTTGAATTCCATACCGGCACACCCGGAAAAGGGTTCATTCCTACCTAAAACCACCGCAAACCAAATTTGAGACCGATCGAAAAATATTTAGGGGTCGCTACAATGGCTGAAAGTTGTAAATTTGACGTAATTTTAAACAAAATACAACTTTGGAGTATTTGAAGCCCTGCGCATCCGGTGTTGGTCCTAGCTTGTTGCCCCCGGAGACTTTTTTTTTCTCGGGATCCAGGCCGACCAAAAGAACCCTACGGGATGCGTTTTTAGCGAATGGTAACGGAACTGGGTCCATTCTACGCTCAAAAAAGTGTTTTTTTTTTCGCTTTTAGTGTTTTAGAGGCCTGCCAAACTTTTGCTTTGCTTCACAAAAAATCTAAACCCATGTATTTTGATAGAAAAAAGGTTGCTCTTTCAAATGGCGGTCACGGAAACAGTCTACGATTTTTGGTTTAGGCTCCAGAGCCGTTTTAAGTTGAAAAATGGATTTTATTTTAGTGAAAATGAGAGCAAATTTTCACTCTTAGTCACGTGCGACGTATGGTTTGGCCACTAGCGCTACCCGGCGAAGTGCAGGCGGTGCGCTGTGATGGGAGAAGCTTCCCGGGTAGAAATGGACGGCTTTTATACAGCTGCTAAATATTTTTTGACCAAAGTAACGCGCAGGCGTTTGAAAAATACCTGGATTATGTTTGGACTGTGTCAGCAAGATGTCGACAAAATATTCGGATATTTGGTGGACGTTTTGGCAGTCTCTGGCCGGCCGACGTCGTTTTAAACGACCTTAAAAAGATGCCCAGATGGCAAAGACAAAATATCGGCAAAGAGCTGCCGCATCGCTGGCCGCAGCAGCAAAAGAGAGACCACTGGCGTCGATCCACAAACCTGCCGCTTGCGAGACAAGAGCGGATCTACTGGGCGCTGGGCCAGAGCGTCATCGTTGAAAAAGAATTGCAGCTGAGCGGTCTGTCTACGTATCCACGACGGTGTGGATTCAGCCGGTCCCTGCCCCAGGTCAAGCCCATGATGTCACGATCCAGCGAACTCTGTTGATCACGCGCGGCAATAACAGCTAGTCTATAGCGTGGGTGGAGCTGCTGCGACCTGCTGTGAACGAATGGGAGCAAAGAGGCTGACACAGTCTAAACATAATCCAGGTATTTTTCGAACGCCTGCGCGTTACTTTGGTCACAAAATATTAAGCAGCCGTATAAAAGCCGTCCATTTCTACCCGGGAAATTTCTCCCATCACAGCGCACCGCCTGCACTTCGCCGGGTAGCACTTCTGGCCTAACCATACGTCGCACGTGACTAAGAGTGAAAATTTGCTCTCATTTTCACTAAAAAAAAATCCATTTTTCAACTTAAAACGGCTCTGGAGCCTGAACCAAAAATCATAGACTGTTTCCGTGACCGCCATTTGAAAGAGCAACCTTTTTTCTATCAAAATACATGGGTTTAGATTTTTTGTGACGCAAAGCAAAAGTTTGGCAGGCCTCTAAAACATTAAAAGCGGAGAAAAAAAACACTTTTTTGAGCGTAGAATGGACCCAGTTCCGTTACCATTCGCTAAAAACGCATCCCGTAGGGTTCTTTCGGTCGGCCTGGATCCCGAGAAAAAAAAGTCTCCGGGGGCAACAAGCTAGGACCAACACCGGATGCGCAGGGCTTCAAATACTCCAAAGTTGTATTTTGTTTAAAATTACGTCAAATTTACAACTTTCAGCCATTGTAGCGACCCCTAAATATTTTTCGATCGGTCTCAAATTTGGTTTGCGGTGGTTTTAGGCAGGAATGAACCCTTTTCCGGGTGTGCCGGTATGGAATTCAAAAAAACGTGCATTTCAATACCCCTTATGGTGCAGCTTAAATTCAGCAAATGATGAGCCTGGACTAAGCAGCTGCCCCGTGCCAGATTTTTGGTGTTTAGTCAAATTTGCAACGTTCGTGCATTTCTTCAGATTTGAATAATAACGAGGATATTATTGATCCTGTGCGCGCGAGCATGCAATTACTTTTGTTGATGTTTTCACAATGTTCGAATCATGTTAAAATTTTAATTATGTTTCTTATTAAAGAGGTGCTACCAAAAAAACCTGTTTATCTACTTCAGTACTATCTTAGAGACTTGTTGAAACTTTCTTCATAGAAAACCAGTGATAAACGACTACGTGCTGCGTGAAGGAACCCTGAGGCCATGTCTTACGCCGCTCCCTGAGTGGTCGGAACACTTCACGCACGAACTTTGGGATTTAAAATTTGATGAATGTAAATTGTGACTTAAGGATACTGGAAAGTGACACTAGCATGTCCTAGAAATATTTGCCACAGGAAGGCCGTTTTGTGGTCAAAATTCAATAAGTATGGGGCCCCAACTCCTAGTACACTGCCAATCCAAGTGTGAGACAGTCTCACCCTATTTAGTACGAACCACGATGTCTCACGCTTTCAAGTGTGAGCCACGTTTGTCCCACGCTTGAAAGTGTGAGACTTCATTTGTCTCACACTTGCAAGTGTGAGACACGGTTTGTCCCACACTTACTGCCAATGGTTCCCTCTGCTTTAATGCCACAGGAACCACGCTTGCAAGTGTGAGACAAACCGGGTCTCACGCTTGCAAGTGCGAGACATAGTACCGTGTCTCACACTTGCAAGCGTGGGACACACGTGGCTCACACTTGTAAGCGTGAGACACCGTGGTTCGCACTAAATGGTGTGAGACTGTCTCACACTTGGATTGGCAGTGTAGTTTCTGAGTTATAGAGGTTTGTGTTAACTTTTAGTCGTTTCTCCCCAATTCTCCTCACGACAAAGGATTGGCTGCCCAGTCTTCAGATTTTTGCAATTTTATTTGTTTTTGAATACAGTCAAACTCCTCGTTTTGTCCCTCTACCCGGGAGTTGCTGCGGACAAAACGAAGGACCGAGCCCGGCCGGCCGATGCGGATTAGGCCGCCGTATAATCCCTACCTGGCCGGCCAGCGACGGCAGGCATCGGCCGGCGGGGCGCGACCCGCGCCACAGTGGTGGGGATGCCTCTGGGACAAAACGAAGGACCCAGAAGAGGGACAAAACGAGGAGTTTGACTGTAGGAAAAAGATTAGCGTAGGCAGATTTGAAGATATCAGTCGAGAAGAAGCTGTAAAAGCTATTTTATCAGGCCAATTTTTATTTTTCTTTAAATTTGTGAGATTTTGACCCATTTTGGTCTTGTTTTTTTGGTTTTGCAGGAAAACTAAGGCAGATTTTAAAAAAACGGGCAACGCTATTTTTTTCATATTTAGAAAAAAGATAAAATTGCAAGAATCTGAAGACTAATCCTTTGTCGTGAGGAGAATTCGGGAGAACAACTAAAAGTTTATGTAATCCTCCATAACTCAGAGTTGGGGCAGGCTAGTATGAGTTTATGTAATAGAAAGGAACTTTTAGCTTTGAGACTTCTGACACAAGGGTAATTCCACGCCAGACCATCGCACCCCCCGAAATCGACGGTGATGGAATTGGCCAATATAGGTGTCAATCCACTCAGGATGACCCCTTGAGTCACCCTGCAAATTTTTTTTTGTCCAACTCCAAACCGTTCAGATTTTATAGCGATTTGAAATTTTTGTGAACTTTGAATGTCGCAACTTTTGTCCACAGAGCATCTGTGGTCAGATAGTGACCAGCCAGGTTTCATTGTCTTCACAGAAGACTACTCTATCCATAAGAAAAATTTATTTTTAAAAAAATTTAAAAACTTGGAAAATATTAAGAAAACTCAATGAAAATTTTACAAAAATGGATGCATAAAAAAAAGCTGGTCCTTCGATTTTGACGATACTTGTTCCAAAAGTCACTTATCCTTAGTCGAACAAGCCCACAAAATTTCAACTCCGGCCGAGCTCCCTAACTATGGATCGGTCCACATTTTATACTTTTGAGGCTAAATTTGGTATCGAAACTTGAAAGGCGTGAACCAAGAGTGCATGTTTTCACTTCTTAGATCACTTCTGAGCTTCGGATTCACCCCCAAACATCAACTCAAATCAGACATTCCATGTCCAGAGGTATATTTTTGTGTTTTAACTTCAACGTTGAGATTTTGGGTTAACGAGTAAAAGTATGCCTGAGTATTCCCCTTACTTCATTTTACTAACCTGATGAAGAATGCAACACATTAGCCAATTGATTCCGTCAGTCCGCCTTTATCAGGAGAAACTCCCTGACTGATATAGGAGCTCACATATCATGGCCCACACCACAATAAACAAGAAAATCTTTACATTTGAGACAAAAGTTGTCCTGATCACTACACTTTACTTTTCGAATCGTCTGCTTGCACTGCGCCAATCCCAGGATGAGAAATTGATAGTGCAGCACAGTAAGTTTCTCATACCGGTCTGTCTTTGAGCCTAATTGAGCCTAATCAGTAGAAGTTGGGGTAAAACAGCCGATTCGAGCCCAAAGTTTTGTCTGAGATTTGCTATGGGCTAATGTCGCAGAAAAGAGGTCAACTGTATCAGGGAGGATGAAGGAAAGGAGAAATCAACTTGTTCAAGCTAAATCGAAATCTTATGTATTTACTTATGTTCTGTTCAACTGACATCCAGTCCAATCAATGTTTCTCACTCTTCCGCGGCAGTTATCTGTAAATTAGAGGTAGCGATCCGCAACAGTCATTTGCAACGTTTTCAATAATAACTCTGGTGATCAGAGAGCTTGCAATCCAAATCGGGTCGCTGACGCTTGAGCTGCTCAACCGCGGCACGGCAGCCATCCCCTTCCCCCTCTCGGTAACTCACTTCTCCGGATAGCCGTTTCATCCTGCCGACCTCCGCCAAAGCAGGGAGGCAGTCAAACCGGAACCGGTCGATGTGGACGGACTGAAGCCGGGGCAGGGACTTGAGCAAAGCCAGCACAGTCTCAGGGGAGACCTGCCGAGTCAGCATGCCGCTGGTGGAGAGGTGCGTCACGTTGGGAGTCTTGGTCCCAAGGGTCCGCAGAAGCGCGGCCAGGGCCTGGCTGTGCTGCGAACCCCACTTGCCGCCGTACTCGAAACCGCCATCTAGTCGCAGAACGCGCAGGTCTAGCAGTGGGGCGCACGCACGCAAGCCGCGCTCCGCGGCGGACAACACGCGCTGCTGGTCGCGGTCTGCGTACTGTATCCGCAGCGACAGGCTGCGCAGTCTGGTCAGCGTCTTGACTGCAGCCACTCCCTCGACGCCACAGTGCAGGCTACGCAACTCCAAGCACCGAGGCAGCTCGGCAAGGACGTCTGTCGAAGAAAATCGCATCATGTGTTTAGTACTACACTGTTAAAAAAGATCGACGCTTTTCGTAACGCCGCTCATCATTTTTTTCGTGATGGTAAGGGCAGGTTCTTCTAAAAATATTTCAGTTTCCAAATTGAGCCGCAATTTAAAATATTTTGTAGATCTGTACACAACTAAGTACGATTCAAACACTGAGCCCACGACCTGCGTCCAAATCCAGTCGAAGAGGCATTTAAGCCATCTTAAAACTTATGCTACCACAAGTACTGCATCAAAAACTTATGTTCTGGACATTTTCACTTCCTTGGCTCACATGCAACAAACCGTGACGTCTCTAAAACATAGGCCCTGACAAATTCACATAGACATTGCTTTGAGTATCAGGATAAAATATCAGGATTTTGAGATATTTTTTGAAATTTTACTGATGTGCTGTCGAGTTATCAGTGTCGTACTAATGCCACGGTTCATGGATGATGAAACAAAAAAATTAAAAACGCCCAGGCCGACCAACAGTTTACATTAAAACGCTTAAGGGGAGGTTCTAGTGAAAATGCTATTTTCTCCAAAATAGGTCCCACTGTGAAAATTTGTTAAAAATTTGATGTCTTATCAAGTATTTTTTAAAATTTTTCATTGGGGAGGCACATTCTATGCCCTGAACCCAGTCGCAGAGCCTTTTTCTCCCATTTAGGCTATAACTTTAAAAATCTTCTTGCGCATACTATGTTGACGTAAAAGGTTGGCTTAGACATTTTTCACTTCTTCGATTCATTTTTAAAAGATGCCGGCATGCACAACTCAAAATGTCAATTGCATTTTTATTCGCAAGCTTTCTAACCAAGCATTTCACTATAATTGATCAAAAATGTACAAAATAGACAAATTTTAGGGACTTTTCAACTTACAAAGCTAATAATTAATAATATAATGGAAGTTTTTAGCTATGCATGCCGGAATCTTTTGAAAATGAATCGAAGAAGTGAAAAATGTCAAGGTCAACCTTGTACGACAAAATAGTATGCGCAAGAAGATTTTTTAAGATACAGCCAAAATAGGCTCAAAAGGACTCTTCGACTCGGTTTACAGCCTGGCATGTGCCTTCAAAAGTCAAATTTTAGTCTCCTTGAAGAAAAATTTTATATACCGAACAAATTATGACTGTGCGATCCATTTGGAAAATGGCAAGATTTTCACCGGAACCTCCCCTTAACAACGTAGAAGACTTTTTAGAGATGCGTCTTTGAATGGGATTAACTTCCTCTTCGACAGGGGCTAGTTATTGCTCTCCGAACTCCATATTCTACTATACGGTGTAATACTTCAAATTTACAATGAACTTTGGTAGTGAGACTCAATTTGATGAAAGAAAGATTTTTAGAAGAAACTTTTTTTGAGCAAGTTTTTAAAACGTTTTCGTGAAAAAAACAATGCAGGTTGAGACAAAACCACTCTCTAATGGCGTTGACTTGTGCTGTCTGTCAGATAGAACACAAAAACTTAAAACTGCTCCCCTGCTAACTCAGCATTGCAAGCACTAACGGGCACCCTCTCTATCAGGAGCGTGAGTTCATTTGATCCAGGAAGCGGCAAAAGGAGGACGGCTCCATTTTGGCCAGTTTTCAGGAGAAACAAAAAAACCTTTTGGAAAAAGTGTACCTCGCATTCCCCCCCCCCTTTCCCCCTAAGGTCATATGGAAGATAGGTCGGCTCTTCGATTTGTAAAGTACATTCCCTAGAGAGTGTACTCGTGAATACGTAAACGCCAAAGAAAATTGAGACGAGGATACTGTCGCGTTTTCCTGAGTGTACAAGTCCGTGACACTGTTCTTACCCTTGGATGAGAGGCACAAGTCCTTGCAGCGCACGTGGCGCACGGACTGGGCCACGGCGCCGAAGAGATCTCTCAGAAACGGCCGGCAGTGCTCCACTTTGTACCAAGACTTGAGCGTGAGGCGATTGAGCTTCGGCAGCCGTCGTCCCCTCAGCTCTCCCTGGTACTGGAAGCCGTCAGGCAGCATGAGGTGCAGCTCCTCCAGGTTCTCGCACTGCCCCAACGCGCGCTGGAACTGCGTCCCAGCTTGCAGCATGTGGCCCAGCTTAAGGTACCGGACGTGTTTCCTGTTCCTCGACAGGAAATCGACAAGTAGAGAAAGTTCTTCCGGACTCATATCTTCCAAAGGGTCGTCGGGGTAACCCAACCCACTGCCTTCCAGCATGTCGGGCTGAGGAAACTCGATCTCGTGGACTTGAGCTTTCGAGCGGGCCAGTGCAGAGGTCATCATCTCTTTGTCGAAGCTGCACGAGAAGGGACCTGGTGACAGGGGAAATAATTATGAACTTCGGTGTACAAACTTGAGTCATTCTTGCCCTTGAAGGGCGTGGATCGTTTCAGGGGGGACCCTGGTGAAACTTTCAAGCAGACTTTAAAATAATCCCAGAATGTTGAAACTTTGCTTACTTATTAGGTTCAGATGGTGAGTTCCCAAAAGAAAATTCAATCCAAAATGTTTAACAGTCTATGAGCAAAGTGCCACTTTAGTGTTTTTAAGAGCGTTGGGCAAAAATCTTCCTGCGTCTTTCATTGGGACAGAAAGTCTTGAAATTTCTTTTGGGTTATCCTTAAGGTGTATAGAAAAGATTTTAGTAACGGAATTTTCAATTTCATCTTCTGTCCCAAGATACAAATTTTCAAATTTTAACTTATCAAAAAAGTGACTTTTTTGCCTATTTTTCAAACTTACTAAGTGTTTGTAAAATAAAGTAGGGCTGATATCAAGATTTCGTCACTAAGAATTGCCGACAAGTCATCAAAAACTAGAGTCCATGCAAGACGACTCATGTTTGTGTCAACCAGGAACGCATGAATTCTTTCTACGACAAAATTTTTTATCGACTGAGCAAAGCTGTGAAGTTGAGCGTATAATCCAACGACAACCGATCTTGATGTTATTCCTTTCCGAGTGATAAAGAAACTACCCACTTAGCTTTGAGGTATTCAACCAGTTGAATCTCAAACCTTCTATGCACATTTTCATCTATGAACTTTAAAAATACTGTTTTTGGCAGGCCATTTTTTTCACCAGGGTCCTCCCCTAAGGGGAGATCCGGACAATTCGTCCCCGAAAATTCGTCCCAGGCCAGGGACTTTTGGGTCCGCAAACGATTCGTCCCCGGCAAAATTGGTCCCCCCTTCGAATTGGTCCCCAAACGTGTCCCCGTTTTTAGAATGGTCCTAGCCGCGACGGTCTCCGTGTCGGGCCACACTGTCATTCATTTTGCGATACTTTTACTACAAATTTTTGCGATAAAACCGAGTTTGCGATTCCCACGATTTATCGCACCCTGGGGTGCTATAATTTAGCTATTGCAATTTTTTGCAATAACCCCCATAATTTTTGCTATAAAAGAGCGTTTTGTAGTATTTTTTATCACATTATTTTTTGCGATAACTTTTAATTGCATTTTCTTTGCAGTCATTATCGCAAAAAAGTGATACTTTATTGCAAAATTCAGCTATAAATTTTTTATTGCAAATTGTTAGTAGTCATCATAGCAAAAAAACCTGTGATAAGTTTTTTATTGCAAAATATAGACAGTGGTTATCGCAATCTGAATAACAGTGCTGGATTTGCTTCCCTTTACCTGGTGATGCGCTGTACCAGCCGAAGGAGACGTGACGGAGTGCGGGCGCGTGGACGAGGACGCGCGCTGCGTTGAGGATCTCGGCGTGGTTCTCATGCTCGCCCTTGTAGGAGTTCTCGTAGTAGGTGCAACCTTCGATCAGCACCGAGGCGCTGCGCCAAGCACGGGGATCCTGGGACAGGCGGTGCCAGCGCTTGCAGACCAGCGGCACCTCCTCGAGCAGCGTCAGGGCGTCGTCCACGCGGCCCAGCACCATGAGCAGCAGCTCGTCGGGGAGCGCGTCCATCGTGACTGCAACAGAGGAAAACACTCCAAATATAAAGGCGATCTACACTTCAAACCTATCTCTCTACTTAGTGCAGGCATGCTTGCTTGCAGGTTCACACTTACAAACGCATACTTGGCCAAATACACACTTACACGAGGGGGTAACCACTCCCGTAATACCCTGCACTCTCAGCCGTTTACTGACTATTTCTCATTAGCAGACGTATTTCTGTAAGCAACCATAATACTTAGTATTTTGTTCTTAAATACTTAAAAATTTCTTTGTAATTTACAAAGAAAACTGTAATATCAGTACAGTAATTAGTAATTGCTAAGTAAAACTGACAAAAAATACTAAGTATTATGGTTGCTTACAGAAATGCGTCTGCTAATGAGAAATAGTCAGTAAACGGCTGAGAGTGTGTACACAAAAACCGTGTATTACGCGTAATACACGTGATCGTAATACCATTTTTGGGTCAAATGTGCCAAATTTGGGCATTTTAGGGCCGTAATACACGTGTAATACACCCGTAATACAGCGTAATACCGAGTAGTCTGTATACGATTTCTTGAAGTGTTTACCCCCTCGCACTTACAAATGCATGCTTGCAAGTACGTGCACACTGACAAACGCATACTTGGCCAAGTTCACCCTTACAAATGCATTCTTGCACAAGTACACACAAACGCATAGCATACTTGGCCAAGTACACACTTACAAGGTAGGTGCACGCCAGACAGTGGCTTGTCGTAATAGGCTTCGCGATGCCGCGCCAGTTACGACAATCCACGCCTGGCGTTTACACCTACCTTGGCCTGCGGCGCTGGCCCGCCTTCGGTTGCCTTCAGCACGCTCCGTCCCTGGCTGGAAGGCACGCAAAGGGTGTGAATGGGTTCAATTTTCGTCATCAGCACCCTCAAAGACATAAGAAGCGATGTAAACCCTGGTACAAAGTTGAAAGGCACTAAAGAGTTGCCGCCGTTTTTAAGCGTTTTTTTTGGTTGGTTTCACTGAATGGTTTGAGATAGAAGGCTGAATTTTGGCGTGTGGCGAGCCATATACATACCCAATGACCTGCAAAATCGCAGCCAGATCGGCCGAGCCGTTCAGAAGGAGTAGTGCAGACACACACGCCGTCAGACAGACAAAACTTTTCAACCGCAGTGAAGTAACGGGCTTCGCTATCGCTCAGCCAATCATACTTGAATTAGTGCCTTTAATTTCCTCAAATACCTACAATTTATAAACTCGAGGCGGGAAATGAACCAGACTAGCAAGAAATTGTGAGAAAATGATAAAACTTTCAGAAAAGAAGAATTCAAAGGCCCACCCTTAAAAGCCTAAGAAGCATTTGCTTCATAACTACGAAGAAAATGTAGGCATTTTAGGATTGTTTCGAATTATGAAGAAATGCTATTCGTATTACAAAGGAAAATGCTTCATAATACGAAGCAATTCTTCGTGGATTTTACAATGCCTTCATTTTCCTCGTATTTCGAAGCGATTATTCGTACAGTTTTTAATGTGCCTAGGCTGAGAATCTTCTCTCTAGCGAGGAATGCCTCTGTTGGCGGACGCTCAATGATGTCAAAATCGAAACCAGTCTTCTCTTCAGGCGTTCAAAATGTGCCGGTCGGTACTCACCTCCTGCAGTTCCTTCCGCTTGCAGGAAAACACACACACACTCACTGTGATCACTACCAAGTGGGCCAGGTCGCAGTCACATAGCTTGGATACTTTTCCGGGGAAAGTTGAAGCTCGCCGCAGGGCAGAGGGCAGAGTGGTTGCAGCGGACAGCGAAGCTTAGACCAACGCCAGACTCGTCCGAGTAGAGAGCGCCCGAGCGCGCCCGAACTGCGTCCGGAGGGACCCGAACCAGAAAGCGCCCGGCGACCGATCCCTCCACCGTGCCAGAGGGGCAGTGTTGCCACGTCTTGATACGGGACCACAAATCGCCGCCGCGCAGGTCCCCCTGGCGGCCGAGCCGAGCGGTGCCGAAGAGTGCCGAGCGGCCGGAGCCGAAGGGGACTTTGTGCCGTGCCGAGCACGGCAACCTGGGGCACGAAGGAGCCATAATCATCGAAATACCCTAAATGCTAATAGTTTTAACATCTATTAGCCAGGGGAAGGTCTTCGGCTTCGATGCAGAGCTAGATTCTGCTGCAGATGGAAATGCATGTTCGTCAGAAGGAAATTGTAGTATGTTGGTGTGGACAGACGGCTACCTTAATATTTTTAAAATAATTTGTCCAACCTATCCTAATCAAAACCAAACGGGCTCGCTACAGATCTTATTCTCATCGCGGCAGATCTATTTCTAATGTCAACAGATCTTAGCCTACTCTATTCTCAAAATATTTCATGCTATAGTCGCGACAAGTTTCGGTCACTTGCGACCTGACCAACTTTACGTAACCTAACGTACCATATATAAACCAAACCTTAATATTCTTAAAACATATTGTCCAACCTAAAATTTGAACATAACTAAAAAGGATGGGTGAAACCGAAAAATTAAAAACTGGCCAGTATTTGAACCACCAATACTAGAGGCCGTAGGCAGAGGTGGTACCCCGGAGCCACGGAGACATCTGCTGAGGAGGCGCTCGACAACTCTACTTGAGTGACTAAGCCCCCCGAGGGTCCGGGGTTATCCCCATCCTCGGAATACCCACGTGGACCTTCGGGCTTGCCTTCGGGCCGCGCTCGGCGAGGGGGACTTCGGGCGCGCTCGGAAGGGGACCTGCGCCGCGCCGATTTGTGGTCCCCTAACCGTTCCTGTGTTGCCAGATGCCGGGTGCGCCGAATCGCCAAGAGATGGCGCTGAGATCGCCAAAACGCGCCACGGGCTCGAATCTCCAACAATCGCCACCGCAGCGCTAGAATCGCCACAAAAATCGCCAACCTTTTGGCAATGACACTCAAATTTAAAAAGAAATTTAAAAAATCGCCAAAAGTCGCCATACTATATCAAAAATCGCCAAAAGCCGCCAGACAAGCCCCAGTATTGATAAATAAAAGTAACAAAACGGCGGCAAAAACAAATTTATTTATTTTTACTCGGCCTACCCCTCTGCCTCGTCGAGTAGGTGCCAGATTTCGTCCACGTCGTCCTCGCCGGCGGCGCCTTCCTCCGGGTCCTGATCGTCTTCATACATGTCTTTGTTGAACAATGCATACATAGCTGCTGTGGGCTCGAACGCCGCGCAGCATCTCACACCGCGCGCCCACAACCGCAGCCGCATGAGAGCCTCCAGCATCTTGGTTTGAAGCCTGTTTCGCAGCTTTGACTTCACAATGTTCATGATGCTGAAAGCCCCCTCAATTAAGGGGTATTGAAATGCACGTTTTTTTGAATTCCATACCGGCACACCCGGAAAAGGGTTCATTCCTGCCTAAAACCACCGCAAACCAAATTTGAGACCGATCGAAAAATATTTAGGGGTCGCTACAATGGCTGAAAGTTGTAAATTTGACGTAATTTTAAACAAAATACAACTTTGGAGTATTTGAAGCCCTGCGCATCCGGTGTTGGTCCTAGCTTGTTGCCCCCGGAGACTTTTTTTTTCTCGGGATCCAGGCCGACCAAAAGAACCCTACGGGATGCGTTTTTAGCGAATGGTAACGGAACTGGGTCCATTCTACGCTCAAAAAAGTGTTTTTTTTTTCGCTTTTAGTGTTTTAGAGGCCTGCCAAACTTTTGCTTTGCTTCACAAAAAATCTAAACCCATGTATTTTGATAGAAAAAAGGTTGCTCTTTCAAATGGCGGTCACGGAAACAGTCTACGATTTTTGGTTTAGGCTCCAGAGCCGTTTTAAGTTGAAAAATGGATTTTATTTTAGTGAAAATGAGAGCAAATTTTCACTCTTAGTCACGTGCGACGTATGGTTTGGCCACTAGCGCTACCCGGCGAAGTGCAGGCGGTGCGCTGTGATGGGAGAAGCTTCCCGGGTAGAAATGGACGGCTTTTATACAGCTGCTAAATTTTTTTTGACCAAAGTAACGCGCAGGCGTTTGAAAAATACCTGGATTATGTTTGGACTGTGTCAGCAAGATGTCGACAAAATATTCGGATATTTGGTGGACGTTTTGGCAGTCTCTGGCCGGCCGACGTCGTTTTAAACGACCTTAAAAAGATGCCCAGATGGCAAAGACAAAATATCGGCAAAGAGCTGCCGCATCGCTGGCCGCAGCAGCAAAAGAGAGACCACTGGCGTCGATCCACAAACCTGCCGCTTGCGAGACAAGAGCGGATCTACTGGGCGCTGGGCCAGAGCGTCATCGTTGAAAAAGAATTGCAGCTGAGCGGTCTGTCTACGTATCCACGACGGTGTGGATTCAGCCGGTCCCTGCCCCAGGTCAAGCCCATGATGTCACGATCCAGCGAACTCTGTTGATCACGCGCGGCAATAACAGCTAGTCTATAGCGTGGGTGGAGCTGCTGCGACCTGCTGTGAACGAATGGGAGCAAAGAGGCTGACACAGTCTAAACATAATCCAGGTATTTTTCGAACGCCTGCGCGTTACTTTGGTCACAAAATATTAAGCAGCCGTATAAAAGCCGTCCATTTCTACCCGGGAAATTTCTCCCATCACAGCGCACCGCCTGCACTTCGCCGGGTAGCACTTCTGGCCTAACCATACGTCGCACGTGACTAAGAGTGAAAATTTGCTCTCATTTTCACTAAAATAAAATCCATTTTTCAACTTAAAACGGCTCTGGAGCCTGAACCAAAAATCATAGACTGTTTCCGTGACCGCCATTTGAAAGAGCAACCTTTTTTCTATCAAAATACATGGGTTTAGATTTTTTGTGACGCAAAGCAAAAGTTTGGCAGGCCTCTAAAACATTAAAAGCGGAGAAAAAAAACACTTTTTTGAGCGTAGAATGGACCCAGTTCCGTTACCATTCGCTAAAAACGCATCCCGTAGGGTTCTTTCGGTCGGCCTGGATCCCGAGAAAAAAAAGTCTCCGGGGGCAACAAGCTAGGACCAACACCGGATGCGCAGGGCTTCAAATACTCCAAAGTTGTATTTTGTTTAAAATTACGTCAAATTTACAACTTTCAGCCATTGTAGCGACCCCTAAATATTTTTCGATCGGTCTCAAATTTGGTTTGCGGTGGTTTTAGGCAGGAATGAACCCTTTTCCGGGTGTGCCGGTATGGAATTCAAAAAAACGTGCATTTCAATACCCCTTACCCCTCAACCACGGCGTTGGATAGCGGCGTGGAGTCACAGATATAGGGAGTCGCAAGGTTTGTTGTGGCCACCTTCTTACACGAATTACGGGTTCTGCCGTAAGTCGAAAAGTTACATGCTTGTCTCCAAATAACCATGATAAAATAAGGAAGACATTGACGTGGCTCTTCTTTTAATTTTTGACTGGTGAAAAAATTGAGGACCTGTTCAAGTGGGTATTCACTCTGGTATTAGTCGGTTGTCCGCTATGTAATTGATCTGTAATAGTTTTGTAATGTAATTGGTAATAAGGGCAGCAAGTAGGAAAAATAAGTGGCAATTTCGTTTCTTTTTGGACCATTGTTGCCTTTGGAACTTTTTGAAAAGTTTTGCGGTTCTGATAGATCAACATTACGCATACAAAACCTGCACCCAATAAAAGGGACGCATCACCGCATTCTCATAAAAATTAAAATAGCCCGAAATGGCCAAAAATGCTTGTTTCTCGCTTAAAAATTCCAGCTCCGTAATGAAAAGTGTATTAGGTGTAATTGGTGTCATACTTCCGGAAAGGTAATAGTCGGTTGACCATTTTCGAGAGTGAATACCCCCTCGGACCTGTTAAAGACGTGTCACCAGGTATCAAGAAATCGTGGGAGTGAGACAGCAATAGAACATGGCCGCCGTCGCCGCCGTCCCGAGCGAGTCGCAAGGCTTGGTGGTGGCCACCTTCTAAAGCGAATTACGGGTTCTGCCGTAAGTCGAAAAAGTTACACGCTGGGGCGACACCCCCAGGTGCCCGGGGAAATTTCCCGCAGGGGAGTACAGCTGCAGGCTTGGTTGCCCGAACTAGGCCAGCGCCGCCGGGTGCCTGTTCCGGGAAATACTGTTCCAGGACAGCAGCGTTGCCAGAAGTGGCGCCCGAGCGCCAAAGTGACGCTTGAGCCGCCCGAGTGGTGCCGAGTTTTCCGTGGCGACCCGAGTGGCGCGTTGGCCTCCCGAGTGTAGAGTCTTCTAACTGGCCCTGGAGTGGCGACTTCGCCGAATCGGTGGTGACCAGTGGCGCTCTGGTGTCCCGAGCAGAGAGTGGCGCTGGGGTGGCGACTTCGCGGAGTCGGTGGCGCTCGGCGCGCTCGCCGCTCGGCCGACGGATTAGGGATTACGGACTTTTTCGCTCGCGCTCTTCGGCCCTCGGCCGGCCTCACGGAAGTTTCCAAGTATTGCAACGCGCCGAGCGCCCATCCTTGCACAGTGGTACACGGTTTGGCGCGAAATATGCCAACAATACCCCCCCTTTCTTGCCCCCTCCCTCTTCCCTTCCCCTCCTCACCAAGCAACGACCAGCTAACAGCGGGCGGTCGAGGGGGGCGCGGGGCGCGGCATGCCGCTGGACACCAACAACACCGCGATGGCAGTGAAGCGGGCATGCGTGGCCATGAGCATGTGTATTTCTGTGGTATTACAATTACGTGTATTACGCGTACCATTTTGGGGTCAAATGTGCCAAACTTTAACATTTTTATGCCGTAATACGCGTGTAATATCTCCGTAACACCGCGCAATACCGAATTCTCTGTTGACGATTTCTTAAAGTTTTTACCTCCTCAAAACAAACCAATAACGAAATCAATTTTCAAATTTTTGCTGTATCTCCGGAACGTGTGGTCTGATAAGGCCCTTCTTTCGACATAAGGTACATCAGTCCTTTACCGTAATTTGTTGTTCTCTGCTTCTTTAATGTATGAAGACTCCTTCACCACTTTTTTCCAATTTTATCATAATTGTAATAACGTTATTGAAATTTTGATAATTCAGTTGAAAAATGTAAACATAAGACAAAGGAGTCGGAATTTGTAAGAAAGCCCGATTGTTGGAAAAAATCTGATCTACCATTTGGCCGAAAAATAAAAGACTCGGATCGGACCGGACAGCCCGTTCCGGAGATATTTGAGAAAGTGTGAAAATGAATTTCTTATATGGTAGCACCCTGTTTCCAACGCGGTTGTGGAGAGTGTGTTTTAGCGTGATGAATGCTGTGAAGGTTAAGGCCCGAAACCGAATGGGAATGGAACTGCTTGTGGCGACCATGAGGACTCGGTTTCGACTTCGGCACTGGGCAAAGTGCTGTGTCCAATTTGAACCGAGCCCGGAAATGATCGCTGCGATCACCACTATGTATGCACCTACGAGTGTCCGAAGGAAGCAGAGCCCGATCTGGAGGAGGCCTGCGAAGTGGACTTCGATGAATGTTAAGTGGATTAACCAGTCACACAGAACTTTGATTGCTTACAGTTCCCATACTAACTGACCTAGAGGGCTGAAATTTTGTATGGGTGTTCACCTATGGGTAGGTAACATTTGCGCCAAAAATGAGCAAAATCGTCAAAGGTCAACTTCGACCACTGTTAATCGGCTCTGGAATGCCCCCTCTGCTTTTGGCTGACTGCCGTGCGATGTGCGTTCCGTCGGACACGAGTCCCGAGTGTTATCAGCTGGTCGAATTTCAGCCCCGTTTCTGCCAAATCTTGCTTCAACGCGTCACTTAGCGCCTCGGCCGTCCCACGATTCCCTCCCCGTGGGTATCCCTGGGAAACAGCTTGTTAGCGCGGAGTACACTCTAAATGTAGGGTGCCCAGCAACTGGGCGCCTTTGTCGCCCGCCCCACTTTTTAGGGTGACAAATGTCGCCCAGTTCCTGGGCACCTTTGTCACTCAGTCTCGGGGTGGACAAACCATTAAGAAACCTGCCTTCACCCATGGCTCAGCAGCAACTGAGGTGCCGAAGGTGCCCAGAATCTAGGCACCTTAGTCGCCCAGGATCTAGACACCTGAGCATGCTCTACCATGGGAGAGGGTCGGTTACTGTATGATTTGTCCACCCCGAGACTGGGCGACAAAGGTGCCCAGAAACTGGGCGACATTTGGCACCCTAAAAAGTGGGGCGGGCGACAAAGGCACCCAGTTGCTGGGCACCCCATATTTTGAGTGTAGCGCCAGCGCTGACCAGCCACCCACAATACACCGGCCGAACGGAAAGATAGGTGAGGATCATGTTCCAGCTCCCTGGCGGATTGCCCGGAATCGGGCCAAGCCCAGGCAAACCAGCGGAAAGGTTGGTAGGTAATCCCTCTCCGCCGAGCCAGCCAGAGCCGGGCCAGACTCGGGCCTCGGGACTCCCGGGCGTCCCGTCCCGAGTCCCGCCTGTTTCTGCTCGCATCGACAAAAATCACCAACTTTTTAGGTTGCCCCCCCCCCCCAAAAAAAATCGCCAATTTTTTTCCGAATTGCCAATTGCCAAATCCTATGTTTTTCGCGCCAAACCAAACGAAAAGTCGCCAAATCTTTACAACACTGGTGCCCCGCCCCTTTTTCCGTCACCCTTCGCTTACCACCGAAGCGCTCCGAAGGACCACCTTTGCCCCCTCCCCGTACCACCGAGCTTCTGGCAACGCTGTACGGGGGCCGAGGGCGCGCGACTTGGGCTCGGACTAGGGCGCTCTCGGCTCGGGTCGGCCGTGTCTGGCAAGCCTGCTCTCTCTACCTCCCTACCTGGACCCGGCGCTGCCGTGCCGGCACTCTCCACCATTTCCCGCTCCGTGCTAGCTCAGCTTTCGACATCGCCCGTGTTGCGTCGCGTCGCTGCACTGTGGCCTTCCGATCCGAGATCAAGTCGTGGTCAAGAAACTCTCGTGCCTCTCCCGAATCTCGTCGTCCAGCGCGAGGAAAGGCCTCTCCCTGCGTAGCTACGCCCGTCTAGCGTTTTCCGCCCTGCCATTCTTCCAGGTGAGTTAAGTTACATGGTGATAAGAGCACACTGGTAAAACTAAAGCGTAACTCTATGCTTGAGTCAAGCATAAAGTTACGCTTGAAGACGTTATGCTTGAAATGAAGCATACTCGGGAAATTTGAGAAAAAGGTTTGTAAGTTATGAAGAAAACTGCTGGCAACGTGCCGAAGCAGTAAAGTTGCAAAGGATTTTCTTTGCTAACTGTTATATTTCGCAATGCATAGTAAATAGTTCCGAAAGGAGTACTTCTGAAGGATTAAAGAGTGCGTCGTTTTTTGGGTTCCAAATAAGGCCGATCGCATTAGGGTTCTTGACTACGTTAACGAACAACTTTTCCTGGGATGCTGTTTGCTCTTGTTCCGTAACCTGTCGCCCATAAAGTTTATTTGTTTTGTTTCGTCGAAGTGGCAGTGCTTTTCTTTCGTTCTTGGTGTGAGCGGTTTCTCTAGGCCTCAACAGTATAGTAAAATAGTCTACATGCAATTACGTACACTACAAATAATCGTGTATTCTGAACGGGCAACTAACTGTATAATTTGACCGCCGGCTCCAGGTTCAGACAGCAAGCAAATGGCTGTCCCTGATTGGTCGGAATACTTCACACTCGCATTATGTGAGGCATAAAAGACGACTGTTAATTTCGGCTGTCAGTTGGCTCACCCTGCTCAAATCTATCCAATCTATCACCCTACCATTAGGTTACTGAGTTTCACGTTTTAGTATTGATAAATAATTTTACTTATAGTGTTTAGCGTAACGTTCCGCAGGCTCTGACACCCCGTCCCCTCATCTTATGGGTAGGAATCTTTTACTGCATCACAGTAAATTAACAATGTCAGTAGGTAGAAAGATGCTTACTTGTTAAAATCAAAGAATTTATTTTCTGCAAATGTAGGAGATAAAGTTTGAGAGAATTTGTCGTTGACTTGTGTGTGGTCCCAGTAAATATTTTCAGTGAAATTGTTCTCCGTTCAAATAAAACTGATTGGAAGGTAATGCGCTTATTCAAAATTATCCCACAAAACATTGGTAGCTTTGACAAGTCCTCACTGGCCTCAATGTAAGCAGCTTTTGAATGATGGTTAGGATGTAACTTTAAACGTAAGCATCAAAGAAATTACAGTGTCTCTTTAAAATCTTTTCTGGTAGTTTTCTTGTATATAGTATCTGCATGTAAAGAACATTTTAGCTACAATTGTAGATAATTTTTCCTAGATCGCATAACAGCAATTTTTTCCGCTTGATTATAACTGCTGTTGCAGATAATATTATCATCAGACCGTTATTCTGTATGGTTGCTGAATATCTTTTCTGTGCTTACAGTCAAAAGTACTACTATTGCAGAAAAATAATTTAACTGTAGCTATACTGAATAAATAGTCCGTAGAGAGTCTAAGAAGAGTGCACGTGATAAGAAACTTATAACAGCCGAATAAGACAAAATATGAACCAAATTTTTTACTAATTGAACAGAGGTGAAAAGTTTAGTTCTTATTTTTTGGACTGCTTGACGTGTGTGGAAAATACTTTTGATTTTGACCATAGAGGTGGTTGAAGTAAAGCGTTCCAAATTCGTTTGAGGTCTGGTCTCAGTTCTTGTCTAAGAAACTTTGCGCGCAAGTTAAAAATTTAGCTTTTTTTAATAAAATGGAAAAGTGACTGCTCCATGCCATCCAGGATCATGCTACCAGTACAAAGATGTTTACAAGAAATTTTAGTGGAGGAATTTTCATATTCAACTCTTGTGCCGTTCAAAATCTTAAAAATTAAAAAATTAAGTTTTTTTGCCTTTTTTTCTACACTTTTTTGTGTCTGTACACAAAAGTAGGGCTCATATTGAGAATACCTTACTAAAATTTGTTGACTAGTCATCAAAGAATTCCATGCAAGACGACTCATAAGTGTCAAGCAGGAGTCCTTAAAGTCTTTCTATGTTAAAATTTTTTGTCGACTGAGCAAAGTAGTGAAGTTGAACGCACCAACAACGACTCGACTCATCTTAATGGTATTTCTGTCTGAATTGTAAAGAAACTAGCCTCTTAGCTTACAGGTGATCAAACTGTTGAAACTGAAAACTTTTATGCACATTGTTATCTAAGAACTTTAAAAATTCTGTTTTTGACAATTTTTGCCAGTTTTTCACCACGGTCCCCCCTTAACGAATTTTCTTTGCACAGCATAACGGTACACGAGTTAAATTTTGGCATTATAAGTCTACGATTTACCATGCACAGGGCTCCTTCCTTTGCCAGCTGGGTCGTCTGTACCGTCGGGCTGCTGTCTAAGATGGACACCGCGCCGTCGGACTGTGAGGCTGGTATCAATGGCCCTTCTGACGAGGTAAGATGGGGCACAGTAAGAGAAGGTGTCGCTTCGGAAGTTTCTCTTGAAATTTTTAATCCCGTTTCGTAACAAGATTATTTGACAATAGCGCCTCTAGGAACTGCTATAATGGGACGTATCCAAGCCGAGTAAAAGCAGCCGTAGTGTAAAAGGATTTCCATAGACGCTTCCCTGTATATCCGTCTAATCAGACAACTCCCTATCACTTATGCACTAGATGTGTGCTTCAGTTAGCGTGTACATGGCATTTATGCGCTAGTAAGTGCATGCTTGGCAGGCATGCGTTAGCCAGAGCGTGCTTGCAGGCATGCGTTAGCCAAGCGTCGCAGAGCGTGCTTGCAGGCGTGCGTTAGCCAGAGCGTGCTTGCAGGCATGCTCCAGGTGGAGCATTCGATTTACCCTTTTCGATTTGTAGAGCGAACAGCACCACAGATATTTCTAATGTCATAGTTTTACCACTGAAAATTGAAATGTCTGAATTTTGATCCATACTGAAATGTACGACCGAAAAAGGGTCAAGGGTCATACTAAAGTGTAAGACCGAAAAAGGTTCATACTTCGATGTATATGACCGAAATATGGTCATACTTTTTTGTACCACAGATAAAAGTTAACACATCCACAAGCTAAACAAGGGCCAACGCTGATGTCTGACCTTTCTTCGGTCATACATTTGTGTATGGCTGTTTTTCGGTCATATTATTTGTATTGCCAAAAATTGATTAGATGTCTCACCCTTCGGCTTTCAGTGATTCAATTAGCAGTGATAAAAAAGCTAATGTGATTCCTTCACGTTACCGCATTTGTAGCAGCATTAAAAAGTTATAGCGTTAAAAGTGTTTTTCAATGATCAATGCCCAGATTATCACATATGGGTGGTAAAAGTGGTAACAAACTTTAACGCGATTCCCTATTAATGGGCACTTTTGACGAAATATCTTTCTCATTACGCTAACAATGCAATAGAGTGGATTGCATTCGAAATGAGTTCAATATCACACTAAGGATAACAGTGACAAAATTCACTTACTAACGAACATGACGTCATACTTGTTCAATAACATTGCGTCTTGCCATCGCAGGAGTGCGAGCGCTGCGTGGTGTGCCTGGCCAGGGCAGACGCTTCCAGCGGCGGGCTGATCTGTGTCCACTGCCAGGACGAGTTCTACTGCGGCGTTCAGCACCGCAACGAACACCGTGACGTCCACCAGAAGGTGTGCTTCCGGCCCACAGGCCTCAGAGTCGTAGAGGTAAGTGGGCAAAAGCCATCAATTAACAAAGAAGTCTTCGGATACGTCAATCCAGAAACCCTAAAGGTCGTGTTGAAGGTCCTCACGGACGCGCTAGGTTTGCCGATCAAAAGCTCAGTTATTTCGACCCCTCCTTTTAAAACCATCCTTACTGGCCCGGGCGCAAGGAGCCCATCCCAACTCGCGGGGGCGCTACCCTGTGGCAAAAAGGAACGGAAAATTATTTAAACAGCTTGTAGTAATTCTCCGTAGCCGCCTTGTCAACATTCTCCGTGGGACCTTACAGTGGTGTTCTCTGTAGGCCTGCAGTCTTCCAGGTCCTACCGAGAAGACTACGGTCCTGCGAAAAATACTGTAAAGTCCTACGGAGAATATTGGTAAGAGGGCTACAGAGAATCTTGGCATATAAATTAACAGAACTTGCCGTACCTTTTTGCCACAGTGTAAAAGACTATCCTAACTCGCCCGGGCGCTGGGAGACTATCTTAACTCCTACACACAGTAAGAAATTTGTTCGTAAAATTACAATTAACGTATGGGTAATTTCGCTGTAAATTTACAACGTTTTTATGTTTCTTAACGATTTATGGATTATTCTTCTCGCAGTAGTTTGTAAAATCACAAACATTTTACACGTTCCAAACTACGTGGTCCGCTTTTGTTTCCACATTGTCACGCTGGGTAGATGGAAATTAACTTTTCAGCGTTTTTTGTTTGTTTTATGAAACACCTTGTAAAATGATGAAGGCATCCCCCCATCTCGTAATTTTACAAGCATTTTGTGCAACGGAATTACCCAAACATTTGTTGTAATTTTAGGATACATTTCATATTTATGTGACCTTGCTGTAGTATTATCGTCACCTTTGAGAAGTATTTCGTTCGTACCATTTCATAAGTCGGTGTTCACAAACAAATTTCATAAAATAATTATGAAGATTTCTGTGATGAATAATTCATGAAACGGCCTGTACAAACAAATGTCATAAAATAACGAAATATTTTCGTTACTTTACAAGAAATTTGTAACAAAAATTTTCGTAAATTTACAATAAATGTTTACAGTGCACAAATCCATGATGTTAGGATAGCGTCCCAGTCCCAGCGCCCGGGCGAGTAAGGATGGTTCTCTTAGGAGGGGTCGATTTCAACAACTCTTTGAGTTCTGTGAAGCACAACTCGCAAACTATTCCTTGACTATTTCTGGGAACGACGTTTCCATCGTGTACGCAGTTGTGTGTTGGTAACTGAATGTTGTGACCCCGTGTGACCCACACACGCTAAATGTTCTACAGTGAAGATTCTCCATATTATGGTGAAAATGTTACATATTATGGTGGTGCAGCAGACTTCGTAACATACCATTGAGAATTCATTGTACCTTACAGATATTTTGATGAATTTCGTTGATATTATGGAGAGGCATTTTTTTTAAGAAGTCCGATCGTGGAACACGACCGATGCCGATTTCCTCCATTTTTTGGTCAAAGGTAGTCCTTGTGGGTCTAAGAAAGGCCACAAATTTTTGGGGCCGAAATATGCACCGTTCAGATTCTATGGGCAATTTTCGTTTTCTCTGACAACTTTTCACATAATATGGCCAAAATTGAAAAATCACCTTTCTGAGGCCTCTATGCACTCGATTGACCTCAAAATGTGATATCTCATGTAAAATCACGCAAGGAACACGAATCCGGTGCCCGTTTGTTGATAGGACAACCCAAACAGATGTTATGACTTTTTTTTCAGGTTTTGTAGGGGTTTTTTACTTTTCTTGGGGTTTTGGTGTTCGGCATCGATTTTCGCCAATCCGATGAGGGGTTTTTAAAGATAAAGGCCCAAAATCTATCATACTACGAGAAAAAAAGTTTGTGTACGCCGCGTAAAAAGCATGGCGCTGCAAAAATTAAAAAACCGTCATTTCTGGGTAGTTTTAGATCAGATAAGCCACCTTTCACGTGACCGTCTCCGCCCCTATTCAGTCTAATTATTGTCCCAAGTGATGTCAGAGTTGGTGTGAAATTTCACCGCTGTAGCTCAAGTAGTTTGGAAATGGCAGCTTTCTAAAGTTTTGCAATCACGTAAGGCATTTACTTTAAGTAGAATTGCGGTAAATGTGAACACTTGTCACGGATGGGGTAATAAATGAGATAGATGAGTGCGTCAAAGTTCTCTAAGCGCAATTTTGAACAAGGAATTCGATTTTGCCGGTACGAAGACCCTGGGCGTACTCTAAAACTACGTTTTCGTGCAAACCACATAAAAATGGCCTTTTTTCCAACTTCAGAGTTCGCCTAGGGTCTTCGTACCAGCAAAATCAAATTCCTTTTTAAAAATTTACGCTTAGAGAACTTTGACGCACTCATCTATCTCATTTATTACCCGATCTGTGACAAGTCTTCACATTTACCGCAATTCTACTTAAAGTACACGGCAAAAGTCCCGCCTGGGTTTCCCGGGCGGTGCCGGGAAAATACCCCTTTTAATCCCCTAACCCATAATTTTGCCTTTAAATCCCTTTACGTGATGGCAAAACTTTAGAAACTGCCATTTCCAAACTACTTGAGCTACAGCGGTGAAATTTCACACCAACTCTGACATCACTTGGGACAATATTTAGACTGAATATGGGGCGGAACGGTCACGCGAAAGGTGGCTTATCTGATCTAAAACTACCCCGAAAAAGACGGTTTTTCAATTTTTTCAGCGCCCCCTGCTTTTCACGCGGCGAACACAAACTTTTTTTCTCGTAGTATGATAGATTGGTCCTTTTTCTATAAAATCCACTCATCGGATTGGCGAAAATCGTGCCGAACACCAAAACCCCAAGAAAAGTAAAAACCCCACAAAACCTGAAAAACAGTCATAACATCTGTTTGGGTTGTCCTATCAACAAACGGGCACCGGATTCGTGTTTCCCCGCGTGATTTTACATAAGATACCACATTTTTAGCTCAAACGAGTGCATAGAGGCCTCAGAAAGGTGATTTTTCAATTTTGGCCATATTATGTGAAAAGTTTTCAGAGAAAAAGAAAAATTTCCCTAGAATCTGAACGGTGCATATTTTGGCCCAAAAATTTGTGGCCCTTTTTTAGACCCACAAAGGGCTACCTTTGACCAAAAAATTGGGGGAAATCGGCATGGTCGGTTCCACGATCGGACTTCTTAAAAAAAAATGCCTTTGAAAAATTTTCGAAAATAAAAGGGTTGGGTTTAAATTTCACCCCGTAAAATTTTAATTTCCCCAAAAAAAAACCCGGGGCCGGGGCGGGCGGGAAGGGGGGTTGGGGGCCCCTTTTTGGGGCCGGTCCACTTTTCCCCCGGGAAACCCAAACCCCCAAAAAGGGGTTTCCAAACCCAACAGGACCAGGGCCCTTCCCTGGACCCCAAAATTTAAACCCAAAAATGTGGGGTTTTTTTGGAAACAAAAAAGGCAATTTTTCCCCTTTTTTTAGTTTTGGGGTCGTGGTAGGGCTTGAAAATCCAGGCAAAGTGCGGGGAATTAGGAAATTTTCCCAAAGCACCAATTTTCTTTAATTTTTTGGGGGCTCTTTTGGGGCCCCCTTTAAAAAAGGGTTTCGGGGAAAAGACTTTTTGGGGAAAAATTTTGATTTTTCCCATTACGGGCGCTTTTGACCTTTTAGTTCGGGCCCTAATTTTTCCTTTTCCAACGGTTTGAGGGGGAGGGGTAAAATTTGGGCCAAAGGGAAAACCGGCAAAAGAAAAATTTTTTTTTTTGCTGTTCCCCTTTTTTGGGCTTCAAAAAACCCGCCAAAAAATTTTTTTTGGGGGGGTTTGGGGCCTTGGAAGTCAAAAAAAGGAAAAAAAAAAAAGGCCAAAATTTTAGGGTTTTTTTTGCCCCAAAAAAACCTCGGGAAAATTTTACCAATTTTAAAAGTTTGGGGAAAACCTTTTCCCCAAAAATTTTCCTTTGGGGGGAAAATTGCCCTGTGGGTTCAAGGGGGTTGCCCCCTCGGCCCCCCTATTACAAAGCCCCGATAGGCTCCCCCAAAAAAACTCAAAACCCCTCCGTGGCCAAAAAACCCGGAGGACCCCGGTAAAGGGAGCCTTTTCCCCCTCCCCTTTCCCCCCCCTCGAGGGGGTTTGCAAAAAAGGGCCCGAAAGCCCCTTTGGGCCATAGGATTTTAAAGCGCTAATTTCCTTCCCCGGTAACGAGTTCCATCAACATTTAAAATTTTGGCCACCGGCCCCTTTCCAATGGCCGACCCCAATGAAACAATTTCCCAACCATTGTTTTACCCTTTTGGCGGGGTAAATAAAAAGGAAAAGGAAAACGCCTTTTTTTGGGGCGGGTTTTGGGGTTCCGGAAAGGAAAATTTTTTTTGGGCTAACCTTCAATCCAGGGTCTGAAACAACGCCAGGGTTTTTTGCCAAAGGAAAATTTAACTGCCTTTTAAAAGGGGCCTTGATTCCTTACCCCGCCCGGGGTTTACCCCATTGAGCCCTTTTTGCCCGAAAATTTTAAAGGAAAGTTTAAAGCCCCCCCCCCCCCTTTGGGGTTTGGGAAAAACCCCAAAAAACCCCCAAAAAAATTTGGGGGTTTCCGGGGAAAAGGGGAAAAAAGGGGGGTTTGGGCCGGGGGGCCCCCTTTGTTTCCCACACCCTGGAATTTCCCATTTAAAAAGGGGAACCCTTTAGCCCTTTTTAAAAACAGGAAAAATTTTAAAAGGGGTTTTCCCCCTTGGAATGGCCAAACAAAAACCGCCCTTGGCCGAGGCCATGCCTACCGAGGCCTTAAAGGGTGTTTACATTCTACGCACCTTGAGTCCTGTTGAGCTCAGTGCCTATGACCAGGGGGTGTACAATGCACGCCCCCTTTCCTTCGACCAAAGGTGCTCACATGCTAACTTCTATCTGCAAAAGGTGCTCAATGGGGTATACGCCTTTGGCGTGTAGAATCAAGGCGCCTTAAGGCAGTTCCATTTCTGTGGCATACGCCTAAGGCGTATAGTTTCTAGACACCCTGGATTTGGAGTGT